CGTTTGCAATCTCGATAACAAATCACACACTTTATATTACCGTCACTACCGCTCGCTTGACTCAATTATCTGTCTCTATGTCTATCTATCTGCATATCTTCTCTCTTCTTTTATTTGCCGGGCTTATATACTAAAAAAGAGGGTGTCCCGAACAAACTAGGAAATTCACGATCATTCGAGAACTCCTCGCACACGCAACCAGCGCCAATGCCCCAGCAGAGTCACGTGACTTCCGCTGTCGTAACATTATTATTCTTAGACTAAACATACCAATTCATATTCCCTATAGGAAGCTACTGTGTACAGGGAATTTCTATGAATTGCATATAAAAACTCGGCAAGATGCCAGCTTCAAAAGTTTGTGCTTTAACATATAATATTTTATATAAGATACTTATGTAATATGGTGTAGATAAAAAAGAATATTACCTATTGAAGTATTCAAGTTTTTGAATGAATACATGAAGAGGTACCTACATGAAGCAGTCGTTTCAAGCAGTGTTACTTTGCTTTTCAAATGTATAGGTAGAAAAATCAGTATAGAGACTTCACAAAAATATTACAATAGTTTAAAAGTAATCGATTCATCATGGCAGGATATCTCTTAATATATATATATATATAGTATGGTTTAGAATTGTTTATTTGCACGTGGCAAAACAAAACAAGCAGAAAAATAGCCCCAAACTTATCTTAATACTTGTTTCGACAAAAAATACTTTCACTAGAATTGATAAAAAAATTTAATTTCAATAAAGACAAAAATCAAGTTGTTAATGGTGAAATGGTTGAAACATGAACTTTCTTTAGACGTACGAGGAAAAAATAGATTAAAGAAAGAGTGAAAAAAAACAGAGCACAAAGGGCATAACTACAGGAAATTGATTGTATATATATTTTACTTCTGGAAAACTGACATAAACAAGAAAATTAATGTAAGCCATGAGTCCCCCTCCTATTAATGTTGTTTGGAATAGTCGGTGATGCTTGTTTTTTGTTTTTTTTGTTTTGTTTTTTGAATTTCGCGCAAAGCTACACGAGGGCTATCTGCGCTAGCCGTCCCTAACTTAGAAGTGTAAGACTAGAGGGAAGGCAGCTAGTCATCACCACTCACCGCCAACTCTTGGGCTACTCTTTTACCAACGAATAGTGGGATTGACTGTCACATTATAACGCCCCCACGGCTAAAAGGGCGAGCATGTTTGATGGGACGGGGATTCGAACGCGCGACCCTCGGACTGCGAGTCGAACCCCCCAACCACCTGGCCATGCCGGGCCAGTCGGTGATGCATGGAACTTTAGATTTCGGTATACTGCACTTTAATGTTTTCTTTGGATTTTGGCGGTAAATCTGAATCCCCCTTTTTGTCTTATGCCGATCCAGGTAACAACCATTATCAAATAATGTAGAATAATACTGTCAAAAATACAGAATAAAAGTAAACGTCCCCAAAAAAAACCAATTACTAACCTTCACAAGATTAATAAAACACAAAAAACACACCTAAACTATATATGAATGGAACACTTCTCCAGACCACAACATTGGCAAAATTTTTAGGATTAACTTTAAACCAAAAACTGACGTGGGTAAAACATACAAATAATATATTAACAAAAATATGGAAACGCATAAATTATGCAAGAAGTCTAACATGCAAAAACCAGGGAACATCACCTGATAACATTATTAAAATATACAAAACGTATATCCCTGCACGGATAAACATAGCTCCGAAACATATGAATAAGCTACAAACTATAAAAAACACTCTTATCACAACAGCATACAAAGTCCCCTGCAGTACCTTATCAAAATTCATGCATACATACAAACAAGAGCCGATAGACTCTTGCATAATACTCTAAATTACTTTGAGAGAAATTGGCAAAAGAATGA